ATTAAATTCATTATTTAAAGGACAATTTTCTTTCCTTAATAAAAATTTCAATGAGCATATTTTTCCACATTTTTAATATCCAGCATTTTTTATCATTATTCATTATTTGAAGGCCAATTTTTTTCTCCTTGATAGAAATTTCATTGAGCAGTTTCCGAATTTTTAATCTCCAGTATCATAATAGAAATCTCAAAAGGAACTGTAAGAAATATCCCTTGTATATCCAGGAATATATTACGAAAGCTACAGAATTTTTTGCTAGAAGTTTTACATTCATGTGAAGACCTTTCAAGCAACGTAGCAATGGTGAGAAGTGCTTTAATAAAGAGAGAGAGAGAGAGAGAGAGAGAGAGAGAGAGAGAGAGAGAGAGAGGGGAGGGGGGTGGGAGGGAGGGATAGAGAGAGACGAATTGCCATATAAACGAGGGATATCGTAAATTACACGTAGCGGTACGAGTGTCGGGGAATTTCGAGCTTGTAACGTCTTTGCAGTTGTGTAACGAGGAGAGCATTTGCAGTGCGTCGAAGTCGTCCCTCGTTGTAGCCGGCGCGGCACGCTGGCGACTTGGAGCGCGCCGGGCTCGCCCGCTCCGTTTTCAATGGAGAGAACCGCACCGGCGATAAATTTCTACCTCGCGACGTGGCCGCGGCGGCGGCGGTGTCGGTTTCACAGCCGCTGACGCGCTCGTTAATTGCGATCTTTTTATTCCCCATCTTTCCGCCCGTGAACTCCAACGTATCCGACGTTGATACTTTTTGTCGCGGGCAAACAGCGGCGGTATTAGAGAGCCGGTCCTTTCGCGGCAAGTGGAGATGCGGAGAGTTACACACGGCGAGAAAAACGACCGTGGCTCGTCAGAGATTCCGCACGTACATACGTATACTAGCCGGAAACGCGTTCTTACGTTTATTCGAGGCACAGGAAAGGAGACTACTTGTTAGAAATATTTGTTTACATAACAACTTTTACTTGTTTAGAAATATTTGTTTACGTAACATAACTGTTATTTACCATTTAACACGAGATGCAAAATACGAATTATTATTGCTTCGCATTGTGAGTCTCTTTTGACGCCTGAGATACGCGCGATGAATCGATATAAAATTTAATCACACTTCGTCCTCATCTCGCGTATCAACTTTGATAAAAAAAAAAAATGCATAGAGCTTCGTTAAAAAATTTTTGATACGGTAACTCTGCCGTATTTCTCTGAGGAATAAATTTTTTATAACACGCTAAACATCACGGACAAACTGTAATATAATATATTTCCGGGATTTCTCGTGTAAGTTAAAGTAATAAAAAATAGAACTCGCGATAAATCATATGGAAATTCGGACATTAATAATTTTTCCTGGATGGCATATTCGTGATTAATATCTCTCCAGTGAATGCAAATATTTAAGAGCCGATATTCCATCGTCGTTATTTCGTAGCGTCAATCGAAAAGTAATGACTATAATGAGTTTCATAATTACACTCAAAAGAATAATTTAGTTCTCAATCAATTCCGTATTATTAACTGCTACCGAGACATGTCCTAAATTAGGACACAAGATATAATCTTATATCTCGATTTCGAACATATGTGTATTGTTTGTTTGGATTTGCTTTTAAAACCTTTAAAACACTTGCATAAAATTAATTTGATAAATACAGTATAATAATATATATATATATATATTCGGAGTGGCATCTTTCTAAAATAAATGCGCAATTTTTTGCGATACGAATACTCAATGTGTTTTAGAGTATTAAATATTTCATCACAACACTTTTTTAAGTTCTCTAATAACGCGTCCATCATTCATGATAAATTATAATGCTGTGGCTTATGAGCAAAGTTACCGTTAGAAAAAAAACCCGATACTTCTGCGGCGTATCGAGTGTAAACGTAAAGATTTCCGCACACCCAAACATCATGCAAATCGCATCAGACATCGCCGGGAGTAACGGAGAAATTAATAAAGCACACTATATGCGCCGATCGATGGATCGATGAATCACCGGCCAAACAGGAGTCGGAATCGACAGACGGATCATTCCTTCGAGGTGGTGCAGAGGAATGGGAAGGAAAGGAGGAGAGGAGGGCAGGCATGTACATAATCGCCGCATGGCGCGAGTACATAGGCAATATCCTACGCGCGTATATCCCCCTCGCAGCTATGCGTTTGGCGAAAGAGGAGACGATGCGAAAGCCGAGGGGAAAGGGGGGGGAGGAAGAAAGGAAGGAGAGAGGGACAAAGCGAGAGAAAACGGCCGCGCGGCGAAAAAACGAGTTCATCGGCGCTGACGAGCGATAGCTTTTAATCTCGAGTCGCGCTTGCACACGCGCCCGTTTTTCTGCCAGTTCGATGTAATATCCGTTGTAAATGCACTCCCGGGGAAATGTTACTCAATGCGCGCACCGGAACGTACACACGACTCCTGTGTACGGTGTAATTTACTACCCCGCGGTATGAATCCCCCGCAGTAGTAGTCGCTGACTACGGGCCGACACGGGCTTGCTAGGCGAGCCCCAGCGGTGCAGTCCGGCGTTGGCTGCAACTTTTTGGACGCAGCCCCGGAGCCAAATTTCCGCATCCCGAACGCTTTGTCGCGTTACTCGTTAACGGGAAAGTGTAAGACTCTCTTGCAAAGCAATCGCGGAAGTTACTGATTGCCGACACATTCCTCGCACACTTTAACTTTGTCAGGATAACTCGATTTCATGAATCGGCAATTGACCGACAGTCCCGTAATAATATTCCTCAACAATAAAACTTCGTTGTGCTTTCAATGTTCATAGATATGTATAACATTTATAAGTGAATGAAATACTTGATAAAATTATTTCGATAAAAATAATTATATGTATGTATATATGTCGATACAATAAAACATATTATATTTTTTTTGTTTACAAAATTGTTTACAAAATTATTTCAATATAAAAAAAAATAATAGTTCAAAATAACATTTTGCTATATATTATTCCGTGTACAACTTCAACGTCATTTGCTCTTCAAAATGAGAAAAATATAATTTACGCTTTATTCTCTTTATAATACAAAGTTAAATAAATGTATCTGTATAAATGCATTATACATGTGTACAAATATAAATGAAAAATAGTAATTCAATACAGATTTAATTAAATAAAAATGTATGTGTCCATACTACCCTACTGTTCTACATATTTCTTTGAAACTATTCTTGGAACTATATAAGCAAAAAATTATACGATATTTTTAATTAGCTATTACTTATTATTAGTTACTAAATTAGTTATTTATTTATTATTTATCGATTTATTGACTTTATTTATTAGTAATTGTATTTACTTTTAATTGTATTTACTTTTTTATGTTGAATTAAGTACTGATTTCGACGCGAGTAAGTTTTTCTTGCGCATCACTTATTGTTAGAAAATCCCAGGAAAAAATATGTGTGAATATATGTATATTTGCGGTAAAGCATTATCAAATGATTTCGAGTTAGAATCGCATACTTTAAAGCGACATTAATTATTGTACCACGGAGATCGTTTCAGAGCTCGGTTCATGCAATACGTTCCTGGTACCGAATGGAGGGAAACGGAGGGTAGTCGAGGTGCATACAGTGCAGCATCGATTGGTGGATGCAGTATAGCCATTGGGTAACCGAGTCGGTAGTAGGGCGTAGCGTAGGAGGCTACTGTTCAGGGTTTGATCAACTGGTCTGCAGACCCTATTTCCTCCTACTATCAGGAGGAAATTGCCACTTCATCAGCTGGGAAGGACGAGAGATTAATGCCCGTCGCTCTCTTGTCATTTACGCGTTTTGCAGCTCGCGAAGAAGTGCGCGTAACGAGTCGCGTTTCAACGCGCATTGCAAGACTACACGGTGTTTGCATCGCGTGTTTGCGTATTCGCTAATGTATGCACATAGAAAGTACACGCAAATAGAAGCTTCGATTAGCTTCGATTCCTTAAATCTTTTAATCAGAAAATGTGGTTTAATCGATCAGTTGATAATAATTATTGAATAAGTTTTAATAAAAGTTAGAATTGTTTTAATATACTTTAAATTCAACTTATAGATTCTAACAATAAAGTATTTTAGTCTACTATACGTTAATACATAAGGAATTGATATAAGCAAATATAAGCAATTTTATCTAATATTTTCTAATGTTTTCTTTATTTATAAATTTTATTTATAAGCGTTTTTATTATAAGCTTCTTTATTTATAAGCGATTTTTTTTATCTAAGATTTTTCTTATTTATAAAAATGTATAAAAAATTAAAATTGCTCTTAAGCATAGTTTTTATACATTCCTTCGATAATGCAATCTCTTGCAATGAATACATTTTATCCTTTAAAAAAAAAAACAAATAAATAATCCAATTTGATTATTGAGATTTGTTATCGAATTGTTGCAAGCGATAGATTGTTAAAGATAAAATCGATTTCATTGATAAAAAAGTTACGTTCGTTTTTATTGCCGTTACTGTTATGTGCTTTTTCGAGATATGATTGTGACGTTTACACATTTAGCGTAAATTTGTAATCGATGTCTCGCTTTGTCATTGCAATTTATTCTTGCCGCAGCATAGAAATACCTTCTTCTCGCTCGCGAAAGCTCGCGCGCTGTTTCGCGGTATGTTGCAGCAGTTTGCTGCAGGCGCAAATAGAAATCGCACCTCGGTCCCGGGATGGCTTTTTACAGCTCTTCGAAGGCCGCAAAAGCGCGCGCAGACAGGCCGGTGGAATTTCATCGTCTCGCGGGACGGGCTGTAAAACCTTGTTGCCGGTTTGGCCCAGCGAAACACGCGTTGCCCGCAGACCGGGCAAATGGTTATTACGCCGTGAAACGAGAAACACCGTGGACTTATCATGCCAAAGGGAAACGTGGGATACGATCAAAGTGGGGACGCTGAAGTGCACCGCGCGTTGAAATGCGATTTCTCAACCGCTCTTTGCCCTCCCCATCCCCTCCTACCCTTCTCTCTTCTTCTCTTATTTTCTTTTAATTAGAAATCGTCGGATGAGAGAGCCTCGTGATTTATCTCCGGTTCATATTATACGTTTCCGTTCACGATATTCGCTTCAAATTTGTTCCCTCATTTTCGCGACATGTGTTTATACGAAATGTGTTCAAGTATGAAGTAATACGAGGTGGCAAGTGGCAAACTCTTATTTATGTTTGCTGTCATATTTATAGGCTAAAGCGACACAACGGCATTCGCTGTCATATTTATAGGCTAAAGCGGTACGACTATATACAACGTGCTTAAATCAAGGATTCCGTCCTCGGGGAGGAGGCTCCAGTCAGTAATCTTTCTCATCCCACTTTATGAGGAGGCTGTGACACGGAGTCATCCGCAGACAGAATGTATGTGATCCATGTATGTATATATATGTGTCGTTAGTTACAATCCATTAAGCTTCTTACATAGATTCATATCCTGAGTTCCTTAATCTTTTACCTTAATCTTTACCGCAACGAGCATGTTATTATTAAACGTTTAATATTTATTCACTGAATATCAATGGTCTTGTAATTTACTAGGCCGAACTGGCTGTAAAGTATTTAACAAAAAAAAGTGTTTACCGTGTTATATTGTAATCTGATAACAACACAAAGACTATATATAAATCGCGTTTTTTTTACACGAATCGATTTTGTACAACATCGTTTAAATGCATCGTACAGAATAAACGCGTTATTATAAGTAACGAAAAGAATGCGATTTAATTTTAGAATTAAGATAAAAAGGAGCGGAAAAAAAGGTAACGTAGAACGGAAGGACGTTTTGTTTTCTGTTTACAGCGTATTAAGTTCATTTGCAACACTCGAACTGGCACGCTACAACTACGTAGCAGGTTTCGACAGGTTGGATTGATGATTTATTATACAGATACGCGTTTTGTATTTGATGCTTTTAGCATCGTTAATTCAAAAAATCCTGCCCTCGTCGCACGAGGAAATATTGATATACCGGAAAGATTAGAAAGAAATTGAAAATTATGAGCGAGCACGTTGTGAAGTTTGTCTGATGTTAATTTTTACCGTCGCGCCGTCGATCCCGCCTTCAATTTTCGTTTCGTGCGAAAACAATTTATCACACTACCGTGCTCCCTTCGCCACGGCGGAAATCACGACGAACGGCGGGTGATTAGTGGGCGATCGGTCGATCGCAACCGTCGATTTTTCTCATCCTACCGCCACGCCGCCGTACCTACGGAATTCTCTTTGTCAGCTGGAACAGTTCAAAGAAAAGTTTTCAAACAGCGTAAGCTGCCGGAGGAATGCGATCGTGCAGACACTAAGCAACAAAAGCAGCATCCCAGAACCTTGTTAAGCTAGAACATCAAAGTACGGTAAACTTAATTTGGACTGCAGAGGACAACGAGGGTGAGTACAGGCACGGAATATATACGGATGAAGCTGTCCCAATGGCAAAATAGTTGTATCGAGAATTGCTCCCCACTGGCGTCCTCACCGTCATCATTTTTCATTGCAAAATTGCTGAAATTAATAAGATCCAACTTTCGCTATCGCATTTCGAAAAGATGAGACTCGCCCGTTATTAAAGTATAAACTCCCCCTCCCTTCTCGTCGTACATCAATCTCACGAATGAGAGAACGCTTTATTCGGCGGCTATAAATTTAAAAGATAATTAAGGAGCAATTTGAATGCAATTTGCGATGAAATTGTTACTTGATTTAATCCTAGTGAAAATTATAACTTCTCTGTAGCACCTCTGGTTTAGCTTCAGACCGTTAATGTTCACGTTATCAGTGAGTTATTAATTTAACAACAATATTAAAGCAATCTAAAGTTGATATTGCATTTTGGTAACATATTAAATAACTTTGATGATTATTTGTACCTACTTCATGAATCTATATACCTACGTGAAATATGTTCTAGTTTTGCAATATTTTCGAAATTATCATAGGTGCATACATATAGAGATCAACATTCTACTTGATAATTCCGCAGAAATAACATCGATGGAAAAAAATTATTTTCACAACGTGAAGAATTTAAAATTCTAAGCAATAATTAAAGGTAATTGAAATTTAATGTTTGCAAATACATCTTTTATTCGTACTTTCAATCTGATGCTTTCATCGAAATTAATTTATAATCGGGGGTGCCCTCTCCTGAGATCTTTAAATTTCAGATCCCCGAGATAGGTTCCGGGGATTCAGGAGCGGATTCTGCCGAATCCACTCGCGTTTCGAGAACTCGAAAATCTCAGCGGGCCCCCCGTCGCGTCATCGGCGCAAGGAATCCTCGAATTTCATTATTCAGATGAGCATCGTTCCGTGACTGATCGATCGCGAGGCAAAGTGAGTGCAGAATTACATGAATAATCTATGTCGCCCTGAGTGCCGGATCCTCCTCTTTGAGGCTTTCAGGCCATATCGCCTTTGAGCCAATTCATCCACTTCCGGCAGAGCTGGGCGCCTCCTTACGTATCATTCTCTTCGATTTTCTCGCGCTACTTTTCGGCTCTCTCCGTTTGGCACGACTCTGAGATATAGGGTATCTCGTCTAATGCAAAGAACAAACCTTTCTATTCGTTATTTCGCGATCGTATTTTCGTAATTATAAAATAACGTTTCTTTCGTTTCATTATAACATATTTCAAAACAATTCGTTATGTAGAACATAATAAAATTATTATACATCATCTTGTTGTTGTCATTTATAGATACGTATATATTGGCATTTTTTCAAATTATTAGTAGATAAAAAAAATTTGATAAAAATTATCGATGTAAAAAGAATATTTCTATATCACCTTAATTCTAAACTTTAAACTAATAGTTTAACCATCGTATAATTTCACGTATGATTCGTTTTATATAATATATAATATAGCAATTAGCTTCATTAATCATTAATTATATTCAATTATATGAATCTGACTATGCTTATTAGTTAAACTAATAAGCACGCATCAATAATGTATACTTATTACTTAAACTAATAAGCATACAAATAATTGCAAATGTATTGTTACACCATACTCATAGTCATTAATGTATAAAATATTTAGCAATAAACTTTACGTTTGCAAACTGTTATTATTTGCACATTTTTACGTTTTTATATATTATTTATTAATTATTATTTTTTCTTTATATTCTTATATTTTCTTTATATTTCTTTATATTTATATTATTTATTAATTTTTATGTTTCTATCTTTATATTATTTATTAATTCAATTTATTAATTTATAATTTTTTTATTCCTATCGTATGAACTTCTCCACTTATAATGATATAATCGCATTGTAATCATAATCCAGCATGTAAAGTTGCGCTGTTTAAATATGTAAAAGTGATACATTTCTCATATATGTCGAAAAAATATTTATATACAATATTGCACATGCCAAAAATACCAGCTAGAGAATTGTCGAAGTTTTCGCTCGCGATTGTCCGCGTACGCTCCATAATCCAGGATCATCGTGATTGTCGAGTAGAAATTCCGTGTGAACGATCGAAAAGATTTGGCGCGGAGACTCCATTGTACGTATGTTCCTTGCATGCGGGCATAATCTATCGATGCTGTGCATATATCTTGGACAACTTTTCTCGGGAAAATAAATTTCCGCGGTCGAAATTTTCGAGGAAGTCGTGTAGCAATTTCCGGGGAGATGACGCAAACAACAAAACGTACAGGTGATATTTGAATAAAGTACAATAGGAGTAACAGCAGGAGCGTGTTCTTTGTGTTGTTTCCGGGAAAATTAAATCCTTTATTATAATTTTTGTTTTCAATGAAAAACGCACTTCGCTCTCTCGTACTGCAGGTCGAAATTAATTTCATTATTTGAAAGAAAAGGATTTATAGCGCTGTTACATATCACATAAAAAAGGGGGTTGTTTGGACGAAGTTAATTTATGTTTTAGTAGTGGACATTATAAACAACGCGCGTCGTTCGCGAAGCAGTTAATTTATGGTGCTCTCTGCTGTTGCGAATTCTCTATTAATAAAAAATTCTTTCGTGTATGCGTGTTTCTCTGAGACATTCGTTGCGTTATATTATTTGTATACCCTTTACGTCGCGTTGTACAGTGGCGCTGATTTATATAACATTACTTCTGTTACTTCTGTTGGAGTGTCGCGCAAAATAGTATTTTTCCCTAAAGATAGGGGGTCGGATGTCGCCGAACGACCATGGAAACGCATTAATTTCACTCAACCAGCTTGAATGCAGTCTGCACTTGAGGAATGCGCCTTTTTCTCTTCCCGTGTCGTTTACATTCCACTTGATATGAATGACTTTATAGTAGTTACATCCGCTTCGCAGTTGAATCATGAGCAAAACGTAATTCAAGCTGAAAGCGACCGGTAATTAATACATTGAGATTCGACATGGGTAATAAAGTTGTTGCAGTATAACTCGGGCTTTTGCGTTAATGGGGAAATTTTACGCTTGTTTGAATCGTGAAATTTTTCTGCAGGTTTCTATAGAAAATTTTCTGAAAGCAAATGTATATATAGATAACTTATCGTACAGCATTTTTCAAAAAAAGGCATTACTTTTTTTAATGCCACATTCTATTTGAACCAAGCGTCAGAATGGTGCTCGCTATTCATGGTGTATGTGCATATATACGATAGCTTTAGAGATATTCTCCCTCTCTATCCGCATTCTGTTTAATACGCGGATATCTTGCGGGAGAAAGCATTTTATTCTTTCACGATTTGGTGACAACCTTCAGAGTGCGTTGTATCGTAATAAATTCAATATTTGTAAATTGTATTATACTTTGTACGTAAATATTTTTGGTTGCACAAGTGTGTGCGTGAATCAGAAAGTATCATAAATAAATGTCAATATTTCGCTATCGTCGTCACACAGATATTCGCGGAATCCGCTGCGTATGATCTGTCAATTTTAAATATGTGTACGCGCGTTTTACATGTACGGCTGTCCCAGCGCTTCCGGCGGTAGGAACAATCAATAAAGATTAGTTGAGTGTAATAAATAAATCGTTTTAGCGATCAGCGAATGGTGTAACAAAAAATTATCTGGCGGTACACGCGCGATATAAAATAAATTGACATTTATTATTATAGAGCGAATCGTATTTGACAATTAAACGAACAATGACGCTAAAACAATAAGGATCGCGAGATATAGATATGGCCGTATTAGCGGCTGTCAATCGTTCAATATGTATTAACTGATAACGGCAGGCGCATTTCCTCCCTTCGTGGGAGTGCAACGAAGGATGGGGAGGGGGAGGCGCGAAATATCGAGGAACAATTGCAATTCGCAAACAATCCGACAATGAGAAGCGGCAGCGGTGACAGGTCCCAGCCACGTGTGCACGCTTCGGCGCACCGGCGACGCTGATTTACTTATAAGCGTTAACACGAGTTTTCGCTGCACGCTGAATATTTATTGCCACAAGGCGGGAAACCGTGGAGATTGAATTATAATGCGGCACGACCTTAGCCGTATTTTCCATTTGCCGTGGCGCTCTCGAGAAAAAGGCCAGAGGGTCTGGCCGATCCAGGATTAATCCCCTTCGCAAAGTAACGTCGACACGTCGGTAGTTAAACTGGGAAGACAACAAATAGAAGTAGTACAATTAGAATCATAAATTTAAATTGCGTCTCAAGCGCGCTTCACGCTATTTTAAATATAAGTGAATTTTGCAACGGTGCTCCCTTAAATAAAAGAAATATTACATCTGCTTAATAATATTTAATAATATTGCACATGCATTCTTGTAATTTATTCTCTTTTCAATATTCACATATTATCGATAAATGTAAATTACTATTTTAAATGCAGAATATTTACATGTATTTTAAATTATGTATATTAAAAAATAAAGCTTGTAATTAATTTTTTGGCTTTTAAGACAAAAAGGGAAGAGTTATATATCCGACAAATAACATGTTCTCAGTTGCATAAAAGTAGCAACAAATAATACACACTTTTCGGAGAGAAATAAGGAGTAATAACATACAACAATGACATGAAGGCACTTAAGTTTATATTAGATATTTCTAAAGTGAATTTCGCTAACTTCGGAAAATATTATCGTCTATCGCCGCCATTAATCTCGGCTCATGTATATTTTATTAGATACAAGAATATAGAATCGGGTTGAGGGATGATACTATGCGTCTCCTAACTTATCCCACGTCACGATATACTTTACGACGCGTCTATGCCTGCAACCATTTGTCTCCTACGCAGTTCCACGGGCATTAAAGCAAGAAGTAAGAATAAACCTGGCGCGACTTTCCAATAAAATCCTGTTTACAGCGCGACGCGACAAAGAAACAGGGCGCGTGACACGCGCAATAGCAATCTTGATCCATCTTCATCATTTACCATTCCACCGGCTTCTTAGCATAAAGAGCAGAGGGGGATGATTTATTGGGTCGCGGACAAGCGGTTTAAAAACTTATCCTAATAGCCCTCCATTCTCTTGCGGCATTATTTATTAAATTTTAATAAAGAAGCTGCTGCTCGCACGCGTCATAATAACGTCTCCCTCAACGTCTCTCGGGTCTCCTAAAAACAATAAGGAATCTTGTAGCGAGCTATCTCCGCCACTCCGGTAGTTTCATTTCCTGCGCGACTTGTGTACGCGCCTTTATTAGTCTAAGAGCGCAAAGAGACGAGCGAAGAGACGCGTCAAGTTCTGTCTGTCTGACATAAGCTCTCAAAGGTCGCGACAACATTGGTGTTGGAGATAGCAGTGATGAAAGATACCGCTGTTTTTGGAGCTGGAGCTCACTCGTTCTTCATTTCGTGCCCAGGCTTAGTATTTTTCTTTACTTTATTGTTCAATGTGTTTTAATGTTGTCGTAAACTAACATGAGACATTAAAAAAATACTAAAAAATATCTAGTTTTATTATAAATTTGTGATTATTAAAGAAATAATTAAATGCTGTACCTCGTATAATCATTATTAGTGATATATTCGAAAATAATTATAAGGTCTGCTAATTGACTATCAAATTGTCTAAACATACATTTGTAGAAATACTTTACATATTTTTCATGTTAATTTTCATCTAATTAAAACAACATGGAAGTAATTTTAAATTAAAAAATGAGAATTTTTATCTAGGAATATTGGCGATTGCAATAAATTTTATGTGCTATTTGTTATGAGACAACTGAAAAATATTTTCTCAAAGCATATACAACATGGTGAGAAGATATTATTTAGATAAAAAAAATAATATTTTTTAGCAAAGCGACATTATTTTCCGGCTTTTTAAATTTTTTGTGTGTAAAGCGCAACCGAAAGCAATTTAATGTATCACATTCCAAATTTTAAATATAAAATATTAAATGTAAAATTGACAAAATAATATTACAAATTAAAAAGATTGCCTAAGAATTTAATATAATTGAAAAAGCAAGTGACCTGGAAATGATATATAATAAAAAAGTAATAAAAAATGTACTGGTCATATAAAACACTTGTCCACTAAACTTTTAATTTTGTCAATGTACAGACTTTATATTTCTTTCTCTATATCAATTTCTTCTTAGAAAAAAAGTAGATATTTTTAATTCTTAAGATTATTATTACTCCTAAGTTTCTATTTTTAAACTTTAATTACACCGCGATAATCAATTAATTGGTAATTAATTTTGCTTTGCAAATTTTGCAATCGTCAAAATCACTTTTTGAGGAAATTTGCGCAAAGCTTATTAATCAAAACAAATAAAAT